TTACAAGTTTCAGAGATTCCCGTATTTGAAACGGAGAACAGCACTAGGATTGAGAATCTCTCTACAGATGGTATGAATTTAATCTGCCCAATGCACACACATGTGCGTGCATATATGCAGGCACTTGCACTGTGCAGTTGTAACACAAAACATACACTCGATGTTGATTTATTTTTTCAGTACTACGCCAGTATAAAAAGAAAAATTGACCTCTAACATAGCAATGCTATAGTTAAGGTTGAAATAACACTCTCATTCTAAACCTCATTTACAACAGATCTTTCTGCAGGGAAATACTTTTGGGGGCTTTTTTGTAGAAGTTTGAAAAATTTAAGACAGTTTACAATAGGAATCTCTATTGCTCCATCTCTAACACACAAACAGACACTGTACTTGGTGAATGAAACTAATATGGGCAATGTAATTAAAAGGTACAGCAAATAAATATTAAAGGCAAAGTGGCCTGACTGAAATGGTATTTCTAGGTCTACCTTGAGACAAGGCTTAAGCAGGCATTCATGAAATAATGGCCCAGAAAAGCACACATACACACAGATTTCCTTCTAAATACCATAGATATAGATATCTTTGTTCCCACTGTTGTTTGATGCAATGGATTCGCTTTTGGGATTATCTCACAGACAGCACACAATTTCCAGTCCTCTCACTGACAAAAAACTTTCAAAATTGTTCTTGCTGATCTGTAGGCTCAACCAAAAAGGATCCCCCCCACTAAAAAAGTAATACGACTTTGGTGATCAATCACAACGAACAGATATAGCTTAAAATATGAAAAAGAAACATGAAAATATGCTGTGAAATTTTTGCAGACATCATAATATCAATATTTTTCCATGTAAAATTATACCCCAAAATAATATTAGAAATGTCATAGGATTGCTTCCATTTCACAGATGTTTCAGGGACTTGAAAACAGATACATACAACATTTTATTGCCAGTATTTCACACAATTCAAGCAAGCAACAGCGGGAAGAGTTTGCTGCTGAAAAACTTTAAAGCACCAATTTTCAGAATCTGCCTCATAATGTGGCAAACTAACATAGGATTTGCCATACTGGATGTCTCCATTTGTCCTTCAAGACAGATGTCCTGCCTCAAGCTGTGGCCAATGCCGGAGGCTTCTGAAGAAGATTAAAACACCTGTGACCTGACTAATTACCTGACACTGTATATGAGGGGCAATATCCTTCCTGGCACATGCAGCAATCTGCTTACACATTAAAACTTCCTTAACTACAAGTGTTATTCTTAGTCATAAAAGTAATTATTTATATAAACTCCTTTAGCACTGACTTTCATATAGGCTGTATACATTCTGTTGGCCAAATCATGCTTAATTTACCACGCATGTTACCCCTCACTGAAGTCTCATGAAGAAGTGCAAATAATATTTGGCCTGGTGAGAGTATTTCCTTTTTACTTGTTATAAATTTAACACCCCCTAATTCTATAGAAAGGCCCCATGCTCTCATATTAAGGGACACTGGAAAGGAAGAATCATCCTATGCATTCTAATGTGGATGCTTTAATGTCACATCGGTGTAGTTATTTGCACTGAATGAAATAAAACATATGTATTGATTCCTATGACATGTGTGTCATATTAGGTTGTTTTCTTCTATATGAAATCTGCTGTAGCATTTAAATATGTTCAGGTTAAATTCAATAAATTCCATGAAAGAGATAAGAGGTGCACATTATATCATGTTGCTGTTTGCTAGAAAATAAATGGAATACCATGTGGCCAGTAAAAAATCTAGTCAGACGAATGAATGCTTACTATTTTTACACGATTTATTTTCCTTTGCTTCAAATTCTGGCTGTCCAGTGAGGGACACACCAACAGAACAGGGAATCATGGGTGGTTCAATATCCTCTAATAATTTAGTGTCCCACTAAATAAAAATGAAGAGAATCAATAACTTGCTGAGCTCTTGCAGTTAAATGCCCAGATAATAAGGGTCTAATGCTGCTGTCCTTACACAAGCAAAGCTCCCTAGTAAACTCAGTAGGTTTCCTTTCGGAAAGAGGTGCAGGATTTGACTCTATACATATCTTCATTGTGGCTTGTTTTATTATTCATAGGTACATTTTATTTTTTAACAGGGTGCCTCTTTTTCCCCACAGCATTGGGTTCAATACTGAAATATGCTGAGTGCCCTTAACTCCCACCAAAGTTTGGCCCAGAGAGTCAGTGAAAGGTGAGGATATGCAGCACTTTGCAGGGGGCACTTAGTGTTTTGCAGGATCAGGTAGTGTCAGATGCTTTAACAGGGCCTGATCCAGCTTCAGTGAAAGTTAACTTCCATTGACACTAATGGGGTAGGAGCATGTGTCACATTACAGAAGGGGATCTAAAGTTTCTGCCACCTTGCCATTCTAGAGTTGCTCTAAAGGAAGGATCATCTGACATCACCTATGTATTTTGATCAGAACACTACAAATAATAATAAAGTGTTATCATATTGTAAATATAAACAAAAATTAAACTTAATACAAGAGCTGGTCAAGACTTTTTGTAATTTCAATATAGATTTTTTTGTGGCAATTTCTCACAAAAAATATTTGGTGTTTTTTTTTTAACCAGTACATGAAGGGGCCACTCCACTTAGTACTATACTATTTTAAACTAATTTTTATGCTACTAAGTCCCAGCCCTACAAGCACATATGCACATGTCTAATTTTATGTATGTGAATGTCCCATCAAAGTCAATCATACAGATATACTGTAGTTAAACACGTGCATAATTGTTTGCAGGATCAAGGTCTTAGCCATTAAGACCTTGTCCACACTGGTCTGGGTAGCATGGGTCTGCTTCTGCTGCTATCAATGTTTTTTTTGCCAAGATGTCATATTTCTTAAATCATAGTTTGCTGGAAAGGTGCTAACAGGTTCCCTGGACAGTAGAAATAGGCCCAAATGTTGAGGTATTAATTTGTGTGGAGGGAATCTAAGCTTGTGTTCTAGAAAGCTCCCTAGGAATAGTGGTTCTTAGCTTTTTGTGCCCCATACCTTTTTCAAAGATTGCCTTTAAACACCTGATGACTTGTCTGCATTAAGAGAGAGAACCATTTTCACAAATGCTATTTTTTCTGTTATTTTTTCTTCTTGTCCTACTGCTGGCTATTTTTCCTAGTGGAATTGTAAGTGGCTTTCAGTTGCTCCATAAATTATCAGGTTATAAAAACAATAGACAAAATCCTGCAGATCTGACCCAGTCCTCATTGAAGTTACCATAGATTCTATACTTTGAAAGAAGTTACAAAATTGAATGCACTTTTCACTATTTATGCTGCTTGTACTCTTTGTAGTTCTCCATTTATTTGTAACCAGTTTCTTCTCAATTTCTTTTTCTGATTTTCATGTAATAGTACAATACTGCAACATTTGGACAGCGAACATTGCAGGATAACATGTGAAAACACAAAACAGCTTCTTTAAAAAAATATATGTTTAAAGGCATATTATTTAAATTATGTAATTTTTACAAAATTATTATTTCAATCAATATTAACTTTTGTAAAACCTTTGTAATTTGGGGTAAAGTATGTGGCACTGTCCCTTTAATTCAAATCTCATTACTCACATCACTGTCATCATTATTATAAATAGTCTTTGGCTTAGATTGTGAGTTAGACTGTGTACCTACTCAGGGCTTCACAGAGAATAAGAACTCCCCTTGTACTCCTGTGTAAGCTAAATGGACCATGGGTCCACATGTGCACGGGTAAGCAGAAACTGTTTCTGCTACTTTCTCTCCCTGGAGCAGGTGGGTGAAAAGCACAAGGGAAAGAGTAGAACTTTGGTTCTCCCTCCCTGACATATGAGCTAACACAGGCTGTTTTGGGATGGTGTCATCATTAAATTCTTGGAGAAAGGCCAGGAGAAAATTACTACCCTCTGCCCAGAGCAAGGTGGAAGCAGGGAGGGAAATGTGCCTTTCAGGCAGTTTTTTCCCTGCACTGTTCCTGGTGCATCACATACACATGGCTTGTGGCAGAGCTACACTTACTCTAGTTGTTAGTTATCTGTGTTCCAAGGTAGTGCATCTGTCTGCAAAAAAGCTTCATTTGTCGTTATTTTTTGTAGATCCTTTGCCATAGATTTTCCTAAGGGAATATGGTGGTGCGAATAACCTATCAGAAAGTATTCTCTATTGTTTGTTATCAGGCATTCTTATGTGTACTTTGGCTACCTAATAAGGAAAAATCACCAACAAATAAACAAACAGGAAAACTTGATAAAATTAAAAGCAACAATTTGTTACCAGTCCCTGTCTTTAAACAATTCTTTAACAACATCTCCACAATTACCATGGCTTTGATTTAAATCAAATTCAGTTTGTCGACATTTTGGCTGCAGGTCAGTATCGCCAACCTCAAGAGTTAAAAAATCATTAATGAGATCCCCCAAAATCATGAGGTTGGCTTAAAAATCATGAGTTTCTTTTAAAATAATAAATGAGGGGAGGGAGGTTGTTTGCTTTCTGGTTTCTGAGACTTAAGTGTGTACTTGCTTCAAATTTCAAAGGTTTTTTCTCTAGCCATAAGGGCTAGAAACTTACTTAAAAAAAAAAAAAAAAAAAAAAAAGCTGAGATTCCCAGCAACTGGGGGAGGACAAAGGGGAGGTTAATATGAATGCCAAATATCACAAGACTCCTGATAAAATCGCAAGGGTTGACAACACTGCTAGAGTTAGAGTTAAGTTTTGAAGTTCACTGAGAGGGTGTAAAAGGGTGTCAACCAATTGGGGGAATATGAACCAGTTGTTTTGGATTTCAACAGACAAACCAGTTGTCCTGTCAGTCATGAATGGCCCATGGCATTAAATGGGTGTTCTAGGATTACTTCAAAGGTTGGCAGATGAGACATGGAAAGATCATACCTCTGAAAATCGGCTGCTCCACTAAGGAGATCTTTTTACTGAGTCTCTGCCATGCTCACCTCGCACAGAAAGAATATTTTTCATAGCCAGAAAATTGTCGTTAATTATCTGATATAGTAAAAGATACCTTAACATGCTTTTCCAGGTTGTATTTCCCCTGTATCTGTCAATCAGGGTAAGATTTATGTTTCTATTTGCTCTTATTCCTAATAATTTTGTTTCTTTATCTATTAAGGAATTACAAATAATTTCACCCAAATCTCTTCTGTTCTTAATTATTTCATTTCTTAATATCTTATTGTCCTGATGTCTGCTTGGAGCAGAGGACCTATTTCATTGATACATCCATAGAAACTGATAGATCAGAGAATACGATACAATTGGTTGTCTGCTTTTTCAATGGCTTACCAGGTTATTAGTGAGGTTCTTGTTTTCAGCCTTTGGTACAGTGGCTTTGCTATATGCACTGCTACAGGTTGGGGACTGACTGGCTAAGCAGCAGTTCAGCAGAAAAGGATCTGGGGATTACAGTGGACGAGAAGCTGGATATGAGCCAGCAGTGTGCCCTTGTTGCCAAGTAGGCTAACGGCATATTGGGCTGCATTAGTAGAAGCTAGGGTGACCAGATAGCAAATCTGAAAATCGGGATGGGGGTGGGGGGTAATAGGTGCATATATAAGAAAAAGTCCCAAATATCAGGACTGTCCCTATAAAACTGGGACATCTGGTCACCACAGTAGGAGCATTACCAGCAGACAGAGGGAAGTGATTATTCCCCTCTATTTGGCACAGGTGAGGCCACACCTGGAGTATTGCATCCAGTTTTGGGCCCCCCACTATACAAAGGATGTGGACAAACTGGAGAGAGTCCAGCGGAGGGCAACAAAAATTATCAGGGGGGCTTGGACACATGACTTATGAGGCGAGGCTGAGGGAACTGGGCTTATTTAGTCTGCAGAAGAGAAGACTGAAGGGTGATTTGATAGCAGCCTTCAACTACCTAATGGGGGGTTACAAAGAGGATGGAGCTATGCTGTTCTCAGTAGTGGCAGATAACAGAACAAGGAGCAACAGTCTCAAGTTGCAGTGGGGGAGGTCTAGGTTGAATATTAGGAAAAACTATTTCACTAAGAGGGTGGTGAAGCACTGGAATGGGTTACTTAGAGACAGAGCCATCCTTTGGCTAGGGCGAATCAGGGCGACTGCTCTGGTCCCCATGGTTTGGGGGGCCTCACGGGCTGGTGCAATTGGCCAGCACATATGGTCCTGGAAGATACGAATCTGTCACTTCCACCCCGGGCCCTGCACCCCCCTATGGACGGCCCTGTCTAGGGAGGTGGTGGAATCTCCATCCTTAGAGGATTTTAAGGCCCAGCTTGACAAAGCCCTGGGATGATTTAGTTGGAGTTGGTCCTACTTTGAGCAGGGGGTTGGAATAGATGACCTCCTGAGATTTCTTCCAACCCTAATCTTCTATGATTCTATAGATCTCTCCATATACCTAATTCTCATTGGCATGCAGGTGACATGCGACAGAGGAAGAGTTTGAGTGTGAAATGGAAGTCAATGGACCCTGAATCTGACTGACTGACTGTGGTATACAGTTTTCAAGATCATACGCTATGGCTACAGTGCAAGTGAAGAATTTTTTCATTCCTTCCATTATTCTCAGGGAATTATATTGATTTTCACATATTAGAGTATACAACATAGTCAATCTTGGAATCAATGTGACAAATTCTGCAAGCTATGAAATGAAAATAACACAGCAGTATCTTATGTGCCTGACCTCAGCTGTGAACATCTGCATGATTCTGATATCAGCAGTTTACTACCAAGAACGGTTTGCAGCAGTAACAGAAAAATGTAAACAGGTTCATATTTTTGCAACTCAGGATGACAGGGCAATGCTTAAATATGTTATGTTAACCCTTATTTTACGTAGAAATAGTTACCTTGATTTTCTATGCTTAATAAAAGCTGGCAAAAAAAACTGCACAACTATTTAATGATATTGTGGTATTATGAAATTCAAGTTCTAATACATGAAATTCTACTGCTAGGATTTAAGAGCCAGATTCTGCAAATTTTATTCAAGCAAAATCCAACTGATTTAGCCTGAGTAAGGAAAGCAGGGCCAGGCCCAAATATTTTATTATTGAAAAAAGAGTGTCACTCTTATTGGATCTGAAACCACTTGATAAATTGTGGGTTGACACTGTAGGCCCCTATTCAGGAAAGCACTTAAAATCCATCCTGATTCAGGCCTACGTTTGCTTAAGTGCTGTCCTGAATAGGGATATGATGCTGAATTGGGACCATAATGACTAGATGAAAGCTTCAGAGAAATATCTTGGTTGTTATGGCACAGATTTTCTTTCAGAAAATCCATGCAAAAGTGGGTTTAGGGAAGGATATCTCGGTGAGGATCTTCCCTCCCTGGAAAACACTACAGACCCTATCCCCAAAACTAGCAGATCCCCCCAGATCTGCTGGAGCCTGGCACCATCCCTGCCACATTTGGATCCCTCAGGGATGGTCTGGACCTGAATTATTACTAAGAAGAATATTGTTGTGAATAATATTAAGCCAGTATTTAACCTTATAATTAACACATCAAAATATTAGAACTGCTTGTAGTATTTATTTTACATCACCCAAAAGTACCAAGGCCAACATTTTAAAAATGAATGCCTGAAGTTGTTACTAATAAGGCACCTAAATAAGTGGCCTGGATTTTCAAAAGTGAAAAGCACCTCACTGCTCCCACTGAATTCAAAGGCAAAGTTTGGCTGGGGAGGCTTAATGTGGCAGACACCTTTTGCCAACATTTCTACAAATAAAAGGGTCTGGCTTTTAAAATCTTATCTGATTCTTACAGTACAAAACATGTTCACTGAATCAAAATGGTTAGGGTAAATCGACTGCAAACTTCTTTTTTTTTTCTTCCAACCTTCTCCCCCTCTCTCTCTCTCTTTTTTTAACCGTTTCTCATGTCATGAGATCAGGTGACTCCCTAAAATCTGATTATAAAGTATTACCAAATCCCTTACTTGATGACGTATATAAACTCCCTAGCGTAAGGCAGAAATTCTGTGGTGAAGCAAAGTGCTGACCTCATCCCAGAATTAGCTACTACAGACATCACCAATTTCTTTTTGAAGACAAGATCCTGCAATTAGAATCACAGAATCATAGAATCATAGAATATCAGGGTTGGAAGGGACCTCAGGAGGTCATCTAGTCCAACCCCCTGCTCAAAGCAGGACTGATCCCCAATTAAATCATCCCAGCCAGGGCTTTGTCAAGCCTGACCTTAAAAACTTCTAAGGAAGGAGATTCCACCACCTCCCTAGGTAACGCATTCCAGTGTTTCACCACCCTCCTAGTGAAAAAGTTTTTCCTAATATCCAACCTAAATCTCCCCCACTCCAACTTGAGACCATTACTCCTTGTTCTGTCATCTGCTACCACTGAGAACAGTCTAGAGCCATCCTCTTTGGAACCCCCTTTCAGGTAGTTGAAAGCAGCTATCAAATCCCCCCTCATTCTTCTCTTCCGTAGACTAAACATCCCCAGTTCCCTCAGCCTCTCCTCATAAGTCATGTGTTCCAGTCCCCTAATCATTTTTGTTGCCCTCCGCTGGACTCTTTCCAATTTTTCCACATCCTTCTTGTAGTGTGGGGCCCAAAACTGGCCCAAAACTGGACACAGTTCTCCAGATGAGGCCTCACCAGTGTCGAATAGAGGGGAACGATCACGTCCCTCGATCTGCTGGCAATGCCCCTACGTATACATTCCAAAATGCCATTGGCCTTCTTGGCAACAAGGGCACACTGTTGACTCATATCCAGCTTCTCGTCCACTGTAACCCCTAGGTCCTTTTCTGCAGAACTGCTGCCAAGCCATTCGGTCCCTAGTCTGTAGCAGTGCATGGGATTCTTCCGTCCTAAGTGCAGGACTCTGCACTTGTCCTTGTTGAACTTCATCAGATTTCTTTGGGCCCAATCCTCCAATTTGTCTAGGTCCCTCTGTATCCTATCCCTACCCTCCAGCGTATCTACCTCTCCTCTCAGTTTAGTGTCATCCGCAAACTTGCTGAGGGTGCAATCCACACCATCCTCCAGATCATTTATGAAGATATTGAACAAAACTGGCCCCAGGACCGACCCTTGGGGCACTCCACTTGATACCGGCTGCCAACTAGACATGGAGCCATTGATCACTACCCGTTGAGCCCGACAATCTAGCCAGCTTTCTATCCACCTTATAGTCCATTCATCCAGCCCATACTTCTTTAACTTGCTGACAAGAATACTGTGAGAGACGGTGTCAAAAGCTTTACTAAAGTCAAGGAACAACACGTCCCCTGCTTTCCCTTCATCCACAGAACCAGTTATCTCATCATAGAAGGCAATTAGATTAGTCAGGCATGACCTTCCCTTGGTGAATCCATGCTGACTGTTCCTGATCACTTTCCTCTCATGTAAGTGCTTCAGGATTGATTCCTTGAGGATCTGCTCCATGATTTTTCCGGGGACTGAGGTGAGGCTGACTGGCCTGTAGTTCCCAGGATCCTCCTTCTTCCCTTATTTAAAGATGGGCACTACAATAGCCTTTTTCCAGTCATCTGGGACTTCCCCCAAACGCCATGAGTTTTCAAAGATAATGGCCAATTGCTCTGCAATCACATCCGCCAACTCCTTTAGCACTCTCGGATGCAACGCATCCGGCCCCATGGACTTGTGCTTGTCCAGCTTTTCTAAACAGTCCCGAACCACTTCTTTCTCCACAGAGGGCTGGTCACCTCCTCCCCATGCTGTGCTGCCCAGTGCAGTAGTCTGGGACCTTGTTCGTGAAGACAGAGGCAAAAAAAGCATTGAGTACATTAGCTTTTTCCATATCCTCTGTCACTAGGTTGCCTCCCTCATTCAGTAAGGGGCCCACACTTTCCTTGACTTTCTTCTTGTTGCAAACATACCAGAAGAAACCCTTCTTGTTACTCTTAACATCTCTTGCTAGCTGCAACTCCAGGTGTGATTTGGCCTTTCTGATATCACTCCTGCATGCCCAAGCAATATTTTTATACTCTTCCCTGGTCATTTGTCCGATCTTCAACTTCTTGTAAGCTTCATTTTTGTATTTAAGATCAGCAAGGATTTCATTGTTAAGCCAAGCTGGTCGCCTGCCATATTTACTATTCTTTCTGCACATCTGAATGGTTTGTCCCTGTAACCTCAATAAGGATTCTTTAAAATACAGCCAGCTCTCCTGGACTCCTTCCCCCCTCATGTTATTCTCCCAGGGGATCTTGCCCATCAGTTCCCTGAGGGAGTCAAAGTCTGCTTTTCTGAAGTCCAGGGTCCATATTTTCTGCTTTCCTTTCTTGTGTCAGGATTCTGAACTCGACCATCTCATGGTCACTGCCTCTCAGGATCCCATCCACTTTAGCTTCCCCTACTAATTCTTCCTGGTTTGTGAGCAGCAGGTCAAGAAGAGTTCTGCCCCTAGTTGGTTCCTCCAGCACTTGCACCAGGAAGTTGTCCCCTACATTTTCCAAAAACTTCCTGGATTGTCTGTGCACCGCTGTATTGCTCTCCCAGCAGATATCAAGGTGATTGAAGTCTCCCATGAGAACAAGGGCATGCGATCTAGTAACTTCTGTGAGTTGCCAGAAGAAAGCCTCGTCCACCTCCTCCCCCTGGTCCGGTGGTCTATAGTAGACTCCCACCACGACATCACCCTTGTGGCTCACACTTCTAAACTTAATCCAGAGACTCTCAGGTTTTTCTGCAGTTTCATACTTGAGCTCTGAGCAGTCATACTGATCTCTTACATACAGTGCAACTCCCCCACCTTTTCTGCCCTGCCTGTCCTTCCTGAACAGCTTATATCCATCCATGACAGTACTCCAGTCATGTGAGTTATCCCACCAAGTCTCTGTTATTCCAATCACATCAAAATTCCTTGACTGTGCCAGGACTTCCAGTTCTCCCTGCTTGTTTCCCAGGCTTCATGCATTTGTGTATAGGCACTTGAGATAACCCGCTGATCGCCCCTCTTTCTCAGTATGAGGCAGGAGCCCTCCCCTCTCACGCGCTCCTGCTTGTGCTTCCTCCCGGTATCCCACTTCCCCACTTACCTCAGGTCTTTGGTCTCCTTCCCCCGGTGAACCTAGTTTAAAGCCCTCCTCACTAGGTTAGCCAGCCTGCTTGCAAGGATGCTCTTCCCTCTCTTCGTTAGGTGGAGCCCGTCTCTGCCTAGCACTCCTTCTTGGAACACCATCCCATGGTCAAAGAATCCAAAGCCTTCTCTCCGACACCACTGGCTATACGTTGACTTCCACGATTCAACGGTCTCTACCCAGGCCTTTTCCTTCCAAGGGGAGGATGGACGAGAAGACCACTTGCGCCTCCAACTCCTTTATCCTTCTTCCCAGAGCCACGTAGTCTGCAGTGATCCGCTCAAGGTCATTCTTGGCAGTATCATTGGTGCCCACGTGGAGAAGCAGGAAGGGGTAGCGATCCGAGGGCTTGATGAGTCTCGGCATGAACATGGCAAGTCTGAACTGGAGTTATCAAGGCAACAATAGTAACCATAACTTTCCTTAATAGCAACTTTCCTTAGTTTAACTGACCAAGATGGGATCTTTCTTTTCTTTTTTTGATAAAAGGAGACATAAATCAGTGATCAAACCATACAGAATGATATATTTCTTGCTATTTTAAAGTGATCTAATCTATTATTTTTACAGCTATACAAGAAGAAAACACCACAGTTCAGTATTAACATATAAAAATAAAGTAGTAATTAAGAATTAAATGAAACATAAATTTATATCTGTCTAGGACCTGACCAGTGGCACAAAATTATACCTTATTGCCAATGGAAACTATCAGTCCCCTATTGACATTAAAACCAAGAAAAAGATCCATCTCTGGCGCATCTCAAGATCACCTGGAATTTGAGCACCTGCAAAGAGATTGTCAACGTTGGACACTCCTTCCATGTGAACTTTGAGGACAAGGATAACCGATCAGGTTAGTGAGCAGAGTTTTTTTGTTTGATTTTAATCTTTTTTTTTTTCTGACCCCCTTGACTAGAAACAAAGGCAAATGGACTTTCAGCAGCATAAATACCAATTCAAATGTGCTCACTGATTTAGCATGCTATACCATGTGGTGATATAACTTTACACTCCATGTAAGATCTGAAATATGTCATTTTAAAATTAGGATTTGTTGGCACGTGTTCCATTGTTACGAGCAAATTTAAAATTTGCCATATATACTGGACATTTCCAGGTAGTAAAATATGCACAATCATGATTGTTTTCTGGTGGATTTCCTAGCAACAATTCTGTACTCAGATATGAGTTATGGATTTAGCTTTGCTTTAAAAAGGGAGGCTGAGGCATTGTTTACTTGTTCTGATGTGCAAAGACTACTACCATCTTCTGCATGAATCTTCAGACAAGTAATTCTTAGTGTGATGGTTAAGCAAATGCAGACCCTATCTGCCAGGAGGACTGAATACACTGAACTCAACGTTAGAAATGTATGTATCATTGATGGTGACCTACAACATCACTAACAAGAACATCTAAGCTTAGCTGTAAAATATTATGAGAAAAACTAATATACTAGACTCGGAATATCTTGTACATATTATTGATTTTTCTTCTTGAGCAGAAAAGCAATTTTAAGATCTAATATTGTGTCCTCTAGTGGTGGATTCTCTCCTGCCCTAGGAACGGAATGAACTCAGTGTTCTAAAAGGTAGTTTCCATCTGACACTCTTGGAATCCTAATCCCGTATCCAATAAACTGCTGCTACTATATGTTTCCCTGTCTTTTGTTTCCTCATTTAAGTAATGAATAGTCTCTGTTCATGTTGAGTTGACATAAATTTTAGGGCTGAATTTGACAGGCATGCTGATTTACTGTAACTAAGCCATAAGATGCACATATCAAGATTTTTATTTCTAAGGGCTTGTATTAATCCATGCACAATCTTATTTTTTTAATTTACAAATGAAAATTACATGTTAAAATAGACTAATAATAGATCTAATATTCTAATTGTCTACCTGTAGGTAGGGAAGTTTTGGGATGTTATGATGCCTGTGCTGGACTCGGAACTTGATTTTAACAAGTTATTTCATTTCTGTGCAGTGGTGACCAGTGGACCTCTGACTGGAAACTACAGGCTGCATCAGTTTCACTTTCACTGGGGCCAGACTGAGGACCATGGCTCTGAGCACACTGTGGACGGAGCAAAATATGCCGCAGAGGTAGAGTCAATGAAACAAAAGTAAAGGTCCCATTTTCAAAGCTTGAGTCATAAATGTCACCCTCAAAAATGGATATGCACATATAAATTTTCACATAACATCTGTATCTGTGTTTACTGCTTGGTTAGTTACATCTGTTTGCACAAGCAACAACCTGCTCTGCATGTGCAAAGGGGATTTTGCAGGAGAAAGTTAGGACTTGAAGCCAACATTTTCAAACTTGGTTGCCTGAATTTAGTCCACCTAAATCCAAAATTAAGCACCAAAAGAGGGCCCAATGCTTCAAACACATGTGTGTACACTCTTGTGAGTAGTCGTACTGGCATTAACGGAGCTAACTACTCACACGTGTAACCCTTTACAGAATCAGACTCTGGCTGCTTTGCAGAGGGCCTGATCACCCCTACCCACCACTGAAGACAGTGGAAGTTGAAGGTGCTCAGCACCTTGTAGTATCAAGCCTAATGCTTGTTGCTGGAATGTAGCTTTCTGTTGCTTCTTAAGGAGAATAACCATGAGCGGGCAAAACTGGAAGAAAATAATGGAAGGAAAGGAAGGAAGGAAAGGTTGTTAACTGAGACCCACTTTTCAAGAAATGAAAGCCACTCCTGAACTGACTGCTTTTGTTTGCTTTTCACTATCAACATATCAAGAACAATTTAGTCAATGTTATCTTTGGCTAATCTTTATATTTTAGAACATTATTGCATATGAATTTAATGAGATGGACTGGCGTATCTGTCTGTATTGTAGGCAGTGCCTCTCACAACCAACAGGCTCTTCCTATTAGGAAATTTTCCGCTGTTGATGGTGCTAGAGCTATCTAATTTATGCAGCCAAGATATGAAAGGGGCCTCCCTTTAGAACTGCTTCCTGCTATAATTAGATAGTGAACTTGGACTGCGTTTGAACAACACTGAAATAAAATTTGTATTACAGATCACTTTGCATCAGCCTTTTAAAATAGTTTTAAAAAATTAAGCTGTTGCAGTTGAAAAAAGACTGCAATTTAGCTTAAAAAACATAGCTGGGAAAATCTTTCCCGTTTTTACTTCTTTAAACCACCTTCTTTAAAAATTGTGTGCGTTGCATGATAATTTCTGCAATGTGCCCCTGCTTTTAGTGATCTTCCATTGCCATTTTAATACGCTGTACCACTTGATCTATTGATGGAAACTGCTATACCAATAAAACTAGTTTCGATTGCTATAGTTACATAGTTGCTAACTTGAGGAACTTCTAAATGTTTCTAAATATTAATAATTTCTAAAATAATTTCAGGTGAATTAAGACTTTCAGCATATGATTTCCAGATTTCTAAATATATTGTCATCATGTGTTTTAAGGTGTAATGCTCAATAATAAGGTATAATAGGCAAAAACATTAGTGCTGAACAAAAGGTACCATGCCCTTTTACAGCTGATATGTAAAGGAAAAACCACTGAAATATCTACTTCTAGTATGTATGGTCCTCTAGATATGCCTGCTCACATCACAGGCTTAGGGCCTGTCTCTGTTAATCACACCACTATCTCTATTGCAATAAATAGGATACTCCTCTGAGTAAGAACCTCCTGTATGACTAAGGGTTTCATCCCAGAAAGTAGTATTTCCAAGAATAAAGTTTAAAGAAAAATAGTAATAATGGCATTCTCAGAAGGCAGCTAGAGACTGGGTTAGAAAACTACCCTTTCTATTTGGGGTTTATCGATATTTATATTCCCCTATATTTTACAGGAAAAGCCTGTAGCTCTGCAGCCTGCAATATAAGGTCGCCACCCTGCAGTTAAAAACGCATAAATAAACTGCACAGTGAAGTCAGTGGCGCTCCGTGATGGAACAGAAGTTCATGTGCACACTGCCAATTGCAGGATCAAGCCCTAAGAATGTAGCTTTGGTTTGTCTCTAATGTTGTTGGCTTTCATAACTGTTTCTCTGTTACTTTTTAGCTTCACCTGGTTCACTGGAATTCAGACAAATATTCAATTTTTGCTGAGGCTTCAGATAAGCCTGACAGTTTGTCAGTCATTGCTGTTTTTCTGAAGGTCAGTTACACAACATAGTGAAATCCCCTTTTTACCTCTTTTGCTTCCCCTTTTCAAAACTGTTCTATTTATTATCCACAGAATCCATTCAGTAAAGGAGACTAGACAACACAACATTATCTGTATTTAGAGACACACATCTCTGTTGACTTGTCTTCGATTTCAGTAGTCTGATTACCTTTTCAACCCCAAACAGTGAAATGGTCAAGTCATTATTAAACTCATTTTTATCATGCTACCTCTGTAGAATCCACAACAATTTTATATTGCTGAATCTTTGAATGGATTGTCTCTGATTTTATATGTTGGAATGTTTGGCCTACTCCCAATTAATTACTATTATTTTACTTTAGTTATAAATAGTTGTTATTGTAAAGTTACACAAGACACACCTAAATTATTGCAGTCTATGTTGTTGTTGTTTTCCAAAATGTTCTCTTCCAGAGCATGGGAAGACTTTGTATTGACAGGTTTCAGAGTAACAGCCGTGTTAGTCTGTATTCGCAAAAAGAAAAGGAGTACTTGTGGCACCTTAGAGACTAACCAATTTATTTTAGCATAAGCTTTCGTGAGCTACAGCTCACTTCATCGGATGCATACTGTGGAAAGTGTAGAAGATCTTTTTATATACACACAAAGCATGAAAAAATACCTCCTCCCACCCCACTCTCCTGCTGCTAATAGCTTATCTAAAGTGATCACTCTCCTTACAATGTGTATGATAATCAAGTTGGGCCATTTCCAGCACAAATCCAGGTTTTCTCACCCCCACCCCCCTCCACACACACAAACCCACTCTCCTGCTGGTAATAGCTTATCTAAAGTGACCACTCTCCTTATAATGTGTATGATAATCAAGGTGGGCCATTTCCAGCACAAATCCAGGGTTTAATAAGAATGTCTGAGGAGGGGAGGGGTAGGAAAAAACAAGGGGAAATAGGTGATAGGGAAATAGGAAATAGTTCCCAGAAGTCACCTACTACAGGACAGTAGGATTATATCCCTTTTCACAGACAAGGAAACTGAGGCAGGGCATAATTAAGAGATTTTTTTCAAGGTGATCTAAAATGTCTGTGGTACAGTTGGGAACAGAACCTTGGTTTTCTGATGCCTCCTCCCATATAAGCTGAATACAACTTTGGCTCAGTTATTTTTTTAGATTAACAGCGTGAATTAGTTCAGTTACATTTGAAGCCGCACACTTCAATACAACAATAAAAGGAGAGTTAGTAGAGCTAACAGGATTTACTTTGGTCAAATTCTCGCCGTTTTGTGTTTCCTTCCCACACAGACTTGTGTGATCAACTTTTACTGACATGAACTTTCATGGAAAGTAACTTTCAAAGTCACTTGCTGGTATTACTGGAAAACAAACATGAAACTCATATGCATAGGCATCCATGCCTGAAGTGAAGAAGCAATACCGTGTGATTTATCTCGCCACTCACAACCAATTAACACAGTTTAAATACTGAATACCCCATAAAGAACAGTTCACAAAAAATAAATTAGAAAAACATTTTATTGAATACTTTCAAAGAAAGAATAAATTTGAGGAAATCACAATAACAAGAGGTTATGCTTGTCAGATAAATTATTAATGACAGTCTAGATTCTAACACCGTTACTCACGTTGAGTAATAGCTTATTCTACCAAGTAGCTCCACTCATTTCAGTGGCACGACTTGGGGAGTAAAGTATTACTTACCCCACACAAATATAGGTGTCAATCTGATTTTATGAATGATTTGCTTAGCTCTAAATCTTAGCTAATTTATAGTGGGGTTGTGAGGCTAAACTAATTTATATTTCTAAACCATATTCAGATCTTGGAGTAGAAGGTTCAGTGTTAATATAAATTAATTTTTTATGTTTATGATTCAACAGTTTTCTCACTATGCTTATATTTGCAGGTTGGTCCCCCTAATGAACATGTGCAGGAAATTGTGAAGGCATGACGTTCCATAAAGACTAAGATAAACATCACAGCACGGTCACAATACTTTAGAGTAGGGTATTAATTTAGAATCTAGTGAGTTCACTCTGGAAATTCTCAGTTGTGCTCCTTACCTTATGCCAGTTTGAAATGTGATGAGATTGCATTGCATAGCAGTTCCATCTGTATACTTGTTATAGAAATCCAGGGTTCAAGCTGCTCATGTAGCGGCAATATTGAACGTCCTGCTTAAATTGCCTTTCTGAGTCTAGGAGTAGATGTATACTTTATGACCTTTATAAAAGTGCAAAAGAATAATTTACAATCTTAACTCTCAGCACTTAAGCTGCCAGGGCCTCCTGTAAAATGATAAGAGCTCTCAATTCCCATTAATTTAAGTTATTTTAAGTATCTATCCATCCATGTACAGTTTATCTTTAGCACTTATCACCATATATCCAACTACTGACTGGTCTTAGTTTTGCCTCATCTCTACAGCCTATCACATATATACATCCTGTCCAAATGTTCAAGTAAAACAGGCTATGAATTTCAATACTCTGTATTTAAGATACAGGCTACATTTCCCACACAGTATTTACGAAGGGCTATGGATTTGATCCTGGGAGGAATTCAGCAGTCAGGTCCCAAGCAAAGCACTTAAGTATACAATTGGTCCTGTTAAATTCAACAGGAATATTCCTGCTTAATGTTAAGTATGTGCTTAAGTGCTGGATCAGGATCACAGTGTTCAGCGCCGTGCAGGTTTGAGCCCATAGGAAAACACCTGTATTTTAAAACGAACCGTACTTCATTCTGGTGCAAAAAATTTCCACACTTATTCTCATCTTTTATATAAACAATATCTGACTGATGCATACTCTCACTATCATTCTCATTAAATGAAACACATTTTCCCCAGGGTAAAAAAAGCTCCATTTACCAATTTTGACCCATCAACCTTACTTCCTGGATCCTTGGATTACTGGACCTATCATGGTTCTCTGACTCATCCTCCCCTTTTTGAGAGCATCACCTGGATTATCTATAAGGAGCCCATTACTATCAGTTCAGAGCAGGTACAGTACCACAAAGAAAACAAGACTGTTCGTCACAGAGAAACTGGAGAACAATATAATTTTATTGTGCACTATGATTTATTTATTTTATGTTTATTTTTATTTTTCTCATTTTCAACATATAAGACATGAAAAAACCTTGTAAGATATTTTTCACTATGTCTTACATTTTTTAATAATTTTATGCCATTAAACTGTTGCCATCTATCATTCTAGAGGTGGCTACATGTTGGTATGAATGAAGTCCTTTCTGTGTAAGTTTTGCATATGATTTTGTAAAGAGCTTTTGGATCTTTTGAGATAAAAAGCACTGTGACATCATTTATTAATAATCCCTTAATAAATGGTAAGGGATCTTGACATCTAGGCCATTAGAATGTACACTTGATAGAAGCTTGGTACAAACAATTTTGGCTAAAAAGCAGTTTTGTAAACCAAATCTGAATTAAATAAGGAAGTTGATCTTAAAGGCACTCTTCTGTGTTTTAACTAATAATTACCAACATTTTAAAACTAAAACTTTAAAGGATGCTTGCCACATTGGGGAAGGGGGATAAGGGAACTCACAGAAAGTTGTTTTCTGTATCAAACTGATTTATTACACAAATGCATCAATGTCATCACTGAATATTTGATAGATTTTTGTACTTGCCAGTGACAAAGGTGATAAAATGCAAAAAGTGGTCAGATCATTCGAACAGTCATCTAAAAGTATAGCTCCTGACCCATCACTGTGTTACTCCAATTTAATGGTGTCACAATTCCACTGATAGCAGTGGACTCTTTATTTCCATTTGTTGAGGGTTTTTTTAATTATGAGATTTTGGATTAAGTGCATGCACAAAAAATATTAACTATAGAACCAGCCTAAGAAATATTGCTTCTCCTTTTTAATATATGGTATTTAAGTTGGAAGCTAACTGTGTCCCTTTCCCCCTCATTTAGCTGGCCCAATTCCACAGCCTCATATTGACCAATCACCGGCTTCCCCAGCCATTGAAGGGCAGAAAAGTGAGAACCTAATTCCAGGTAATTAAGAATTAGTCAGAAGTGAAAATATTTTCTCAAAACCTCTATATCTAAACAAAAGGCCATATAAGAATTCACAAAAATTATTTTAAAAAGTGAATCTCTGTTTAAGATACAATGCTCATATCCTGACAGATGCTATTGCCATTGATTGTAATGTATTTACTGAAATGAATCTATGTTTCTTGTGCATTGTGAAGCAAATGCATTTTAATGTGTGGCTTTTACCTTAAGTATTTTAAAATATTTTTGGAATAATCACATTTTTACTAAATGTATTAAATAACCTAGATATTGTGGTGATAAATAGCAAAAGAAATGCTTTGAATAATATAATAAAATAAGTCAGTCAGTGTTCATGCTTAGCTAACTAATCAAAGATTTCATTTAACTATAGTAAATATATGTGTTAATTTTTGCAAAGGCATCACTTCTGTTAATGCTAATTTTAGCTGTTGTAAATTGTTTGCACAATAAAAATTAATATATTTGTCCTTTTTGCCTGGTAGGTGCTTTATTTTATTAATTGATATTATTAAAGTTTTTTGTAACTGAACAGTACCGTAAAAGTGCTAAATATTGCTATTTTCAAGGGAAAATATGTCACTTGTTTATTTCCTTTACTTTCACTTGTCTTATTATGACAATATTGAAACAAAAAGGCAGTCAGTGAGATAAAGACCTCTCCTTCACACTGTAAATATCTAAGTTTAAGTGTAGATTTAAGTCACATTCTTCTCAGGCTAGTTGAGACTAAATTCATCACAAAGGTCAGATTTTGCTACTTTTACTCAAGTACTTTACCCTGCAAACAGCCCCAGTGGAGTCACTAAAACTATTGCAGTAAGATACTGCTGCGCGATAGTAAAGGTAGCAACATATGACCCAAACAGGACAGGATGGGACTGTAGAAGGATCAGGGTTATGCTTAAGAACAGATGCCAGATATCCAGCTGGTGTGAATAGGCATAGCTTCATTAAATTCAGTGGAGTTTTGTCAACTTACACCAACTGTGAATCTTGCTTGCCATAATATTCATAAATGGCCAATCTAGACAAATATGTAATAAAGAAAACCTTGCTGGGTGCTAATAATAGCTAGAGAATTCAATTTAATCATGGATAGGTTAATTTTTGAACCTTCCCCTATCAAGAATCTCATTTCTTTTGATTGGTAATTGTGTACCATCCACTTTGGACCATATATGGAACAGGACTGTACTGAATAGGTTTTGCTAAGCCATAACAAACAATTGGCTAAAGACTCACATAATATCAGCCATTATCTTTTAGAATATTTAAAGCAGAAATCAATGTATGTATAGCTACTACTTTAACATTTGTATTCCTTTGTTTCATTACACAGCAAAACCAATAAAAAACAGTTGTAACTGCTAACAGGAATGTGTTTCATAGTCTTGTCTTCTTCAACCACTTTCACAAAACATATTCAAATGCAGTATTACTTTAAATACAACTGCTAGATCCATTCCTAAGGGAATTTCGGTACCAAAAAATTAAAAATTCTGTGCAAAAAATAAAAATTCTGTGCACAATATTTTAAAATTCTGCACATTTTATTTGTCAATAAATATATGTGGAGGCTCCAGCATGGCAATGGGGAGCACAGGCCACTGGCTGCACAGAGGTGGGAGATCACCCTGCAGCCCTCTCCCAGCACCAGGACATGGACTCAGCAGTGAGGCTGCACCTGACCCTGACACAGAACAAGGGCTGGCCCTGCCCCAGAAACACTCTGGGGCCCTGCCTCTCTTAAGGTTGCCAACTGTTTAATCACACAAACCCAAACACTCTTGCCCTGCTCCCTGCCCCTAAGGCCACAGCCCTGCCCTATCCCTTTTCAGAGGCCACGTCCCCCACTCACTCCATCCTCCCTCCCTCCATTGCTCACTCTCCCCCACCTTCACTCACTTTCAGCAGGCTGGGGTAGGGGTGGGATGTGGACTCTGGGAGGGAGTTTGGGTGGAGGAGGAAGTTTGGGGAATGGGCTCTGGCAGGGAGCTTGCTTGCGGGCTGCAGACTCTGGGCTGGGGCAAGGGGTTGGGGTGTGGGAGGGGGTGTGGGCTCTGGGAAGGAGTTTAGGTGCAAGGTGAGGGTTTGGGGCTGCGGCAGGGGTTGGGGTGTGGGAGTGGTGGAGGGGTGCAAGCTCCGGCCAGGCGGCGCTTACCTCAGGTGGCTCCTGAAAGCAACCAGCACATCCCTCTGACAGCAGCTCCTAGGTAGCAGGGGCCAAAGGGGTCTCCGTGCACTGCCCCTGCCCACAGGCACAGCCCCACAGCTCTCATTCCCAGCCAATGGGAGCTGCGGAGTCGATGCTCTGGGGGAGGGCAGTGCGTGGAGACCCTCCTACTACCCTCCCCCCAAGAGCTGCAGGGACATGCGGGCTGCTTCTGGGAGCTATATGGGGCCAGGGCAGGCACGGAGCCTGCCTTAGCCCTGCTGTGCTGCCAGACTTTTAGTGTTTTGAAATCTCCCAGATTGGCTGCAACAGCCTCTGGGAGATAGAGCCCGATTCCGGGAGATTCCTGGTGAAACCAGGAGGGTTGGCAACCCTAGCACCTCTGCACCAGGCACACCAGGTATGGGCAGGCAGGCTCGGTCTGACAGGATCCAAGTGTGGAGGGGCTTAGTGTGGGTGGGATCCAGGTGTGGGATAAGAGGGTTCTGTGTGGGACAAGCGGGCGTCTCAGTGCAGGGTCTGGGTGCAGCGGGGATTTGGATGCACAGGGGCTCATTGAGGGGTTCTGGGTGAAGGGCAATGGGACTCTTCAGGGGGTCCAGGTGAAGATGGTTGGGGCTCAGCAGGGGACCCTGGGTGAGGGAGGATGGAGTTTGGTGGGGTGGGGGTCTGGGTGCAGCTGGTTAGGCTCAGAGGTGTGGAGGTCTGGGTGCAGCATCTCATCAGGGTAGTCCAGGTGCAGGAGGAATGGGGCTATTGTGGTGGGGGCTCGAGTGTGGGGGGCTTAGCAAGGGGTGGTCTGGGTGCTGGGTCTGGATGCTGGGATGTGGGGCTTGGCTGGGGCATCTGTATGCAGGGGAGTTCTGGATGCACAAGGGTTGGGCAGATGTGGGAACAGCTCCCCATACAGTGACCCCCTCCTCCCATGGCTAAGGAGCGATGGTGGAAGAAAGTGGGGGCCTGGGGGTAAGGAGTTTCCTACAGCTGGGGGAGATTTCTAGGGGTGAATCTGACGCAGCCCCAGCCACTCCTTGCAGGAGAAGAGGAAGTTATGTCCTCCCTCCCCCAGCCCAGCCAAGCCAGGACTAGCAGCTGACCCTGGCACAGGGTAGGAGACACCAGCCAGGGTGTCCCCAGCCCTGCTCCCGCACCCCACAGTGATTTACCTCTCCGTCGGCTGCTCCGGGTGCCCAAAACGATGCTCCTGCACTACTGGGAAGGGGTACCTGGCTGCTTTTGTTGCTTCCCCATCAGAAAGTCATTTTTTGCAGGGAAGCAAAGAAATCTGTGGGGGACACGAATTCTGCACATGCACAATAATGGAGAATTCCTCCAGGAGTATATATTGGGCAAAATGATGAAGTCAGTAAACTCTCCACATTCCTTGGTCCATCTGTTCTCTTTTGGTTAGCAAGTGTGTATCTTAACCACTGGGCACCCAGATACCAAAGGCTGGTGTTAGGGGGCTTATTCCTTCACCCACTTACTTCCTTGGTCCTTCTCACATGAACAGAGAGCAACAATATCCAAAGTCCAAAGGTGCAAACAATCGATGTTTATTGGGGTGAACTTCCAGCAAGCATGATTCCAGTTTCCTTCCTTAGTATCCTCCTTCCCAGCTCTGACACCACAGAGCCTTACACCTGTGTCCCTGTTCCCATTCCTGCCCTTAGCCAAACATGATTCCAATTTCCCCACCCCCATTCCCTCCACCCACCCACTTCCTGATTGACTGCAGACTATATAGTAAAATGAATTCTGCTTAGCTATACCTTAACCAATCATTTTACTGAAGTTTAACTAACCAATCCTAACATTGTAACATGATTATTTAACCAATTATATCCCACCACCTTAATTAGTTTACACCCAGCAAAATTAATTATACAGCAGACAGGAACAATCACAGAACCAGACAGAGATTATGCAGACAAACAATAGTGAAATGGGGACTACAGTGATAGAACAAACACAGAAATGAGGTGAACTGTAGCTCACGAAAGCTTATGCTCAAATAAATGTGTTAGTCTCTAAGGTGCCACAAGTCCTCCTTTTCTTTTTACAGAAATGAGGATTTCACATCCCAGCTATTGATAAGCGAGTTCTTGCCAGACAGGATGCCAGCAAACTAGGTTTCCTTTTACATTTGCTAGGCACTTCCCTTTCTCTGGAGGCAATAGGCATTATCAGGACAGGATTGTATTCCTAACAGCCCAATAGCACCTGATTTCAATGTGACTAGTTTGGCATGTGAGGATGTGAGATGTGACCGTTCGCTTCCCAGCTTATGGCTGCCTCTGCTGCTTAGCCAAAGGCCTTAGCCTAAGAACAGGGCCTCAGACTGTCACAGTAAGAGAAGGACCTTACACTGGCAGACAGTGATTTTGATTCTTTCTTTTATACCTCTAACTAGCCAAGTGATAAGAATACACCTCAATTCTTAGCGTATAGGCCTTCACAGACAGGCCTGAGTATCTATATCCTAACAGCTGGTACAGTGAGATCCAGGTCTATGATTGGGGTTCTAAGCACTACTTCAATACTGCTTCTAAGACTTTAGAGCAGAGGTGAGCAAACTACGGCCCGCGGACCACATCCGGCCCATGCGACCATCCTGCCTGGCCCTTGAGCTCCCGGCCAGGGAGGCTAGCCCCCGGCCCCTCCCCTGCTGTCCCCCCTCCCCCGCAGCCTCAGCTCACTGTGCCGCCAGCGCTCTGTGGCGTGGCTGCCAGTCCTGCTTCTCTGAGCAGCATGGTAAGGGAGCGGGGGGCTGGGGGGAGGGGTTGGATAAGGGGCAGGGGGTCCCAGGGGGCAGTCAGGGGACAGGGAGTAGGGGGCGGTTGGATGGGGCAGAGGTTTGGGGGGGCAGTCAGAGGACGGGGAACAGGGGGGGTTGGGGGTATGGATAAGGGTCAGGGTAGTCAGGGGACAGGGAGCGGGAGGGGAGGGGGTTGGATGGGTCAGGGGTTCTGAGGGGGGCAGTCAGGAGGCGGGAAGTGGGAGGGGGAGGATAGGAGGCGGGGCCAGGCTGTTTGGGGAGGCACAGCCTTCCCTACCCGGCCCTCCATACAGTTTCGCAACCCCAATGTGGCCCTCAGGCCAAAAAGTTTGCCCACCCCTGCTTTCGAGCTTGTCTGGCAGGAGGCAAGATTCCACACCTAACTGAATCCAACTCAATTCCTGGAAGTGCAATAACCCTGCCAAGGCACTGTGTTATTCCATCCAATAGGGGCTCCACATTCCTGGCTGGAGAGTCTTTTCAGCCCTTAAAAAAAGAACAGGAGGACTTGTGGC